TAAAATAATATATCTATTATTAAAATTATATTAAAAAATTTATATATTACGTAGTTTTTAAAAAATCTATAAATTATACATTTTGTTGCTTATATTTTATTATAAATTTACAATATATATGTGCTGATAGGAAATAAATTATTGATGGTCTGGATATTTAGTTTTGATTCATTTGAAGATGATTTTGTTTCTTTATTTTATAGCTTCTGCTTTTTTATATTATAGAATATATATTTGCTGCATTACCAAGGACCCAAAGAGGACAACCTCTTGTATTAGGCGGCGATCCCAAAGGAAAGAACTTTTTATATACCAATGGCAACAGTGTTATCATTAGAAATATTGACGTGAGTTTCTATATTGCAATAAATGTTTACTACTAATAACAGACGGATGCACTAATTTGCGTATCTCGGAACATTGCAGAATCCAGCAATTGCAGATGTTTATACAGAACATTCTTGCCCTGTGAACGTTGCCAAATATTCTCCTAGTGGTTTTTACATAGCTTCGGGAGGTACGTGATATTTTAATTATAATATTTAATTTTATCGGGATTTTTAATTACTTGAATATTATATATATGTGTGTGTGTGTGTGTGTGTGTGTGTGTGTGTGTGTGTGTGTGGGTGTGTGTGTGTGTGTGTGGGTGTGTGTGTGTGTGTGTGTGTGTGTGTGTGTGTGTGTGGGTGTGTGTGGGTGTGTGTGTGTGTGGGTGTGTGTGGGTGTGTGTGTGTGTGTGTGTGTGTGTGTGTGTGTGTGTGTGTGTGTGTGCGCGTGTACGTGCATGCGTACATTATTTTTACATGGAAATTATCATCCGTAAATAACATAAGGCATAATATTTAATATTCATAATCTTTGATAATTGTATGTTATCACTTTTTCATTGATATTTTTATAATACATAGAATGTTTCACTTGAATTATTTTTCAACTTATATTAAATTTTAATATATGAAGAACCCAACGTAGTAGTGATTTTATTTCAGATCAGTCGGGTAAAGTACGTATTTGGGATACAGTTAACAAGGAGCATATATTAAAAAATGAATTCCACCCTATTGGCGGACCTATCAAAGACATTGCTTGGTCACCGGATAGTCAGCGCATGGTCGTGGTCGGAGAAGGAAGAGAAAGGTATACTTTGCACACTAGAATGCGTAAAAGAAGTAAGATATATTATTGAAGAATTAAGATAGATTAAGATCATTAAAAAAGTAATATTGACATATTAATAATTTACGTTTAGATTTGGGCATGTCTTTATGGCAGAAACAGGGACATCGGTGGGTGAGATCTCTGGTCAAAGTAAATCTATCAATTCATGCGATTTTAGACCGGCTAGACCATTTAGATTAATAACTGGAAGTGAAGATAACACTATTGGAATATTCGAAGGCCCTCCATTCAAATTTAAGTATGTACACATACGCAAAATTTAGTCTATATTCTGTTGAATGAGAATTTTAATTCTTCATGTGATTCATTACATGTTATTTATACAGAATGACAAAGCAAGAGCATACTCGTTTCGTTCAAACTGTACGTTATTCTCCTGACGGAAATCTGTTTGCTTCTGGTGGATTCGACGGGAAAGTGTTTTTGTATAATGGAACAACCTCTGATTTTGTTGGAGAAATAGGATCCCCTGCACATCAAGGTGGAGTCTATGGGGTATGTAATCTAAATCGTTTAATGTAATGTGATGTGACATAAGAATATGATTACAAATTATTTAAAATATTATTTAAAATAAATGTAATTGAACAACACATTTATATTTACAGGTTGCATGGAAGCCTGATAGTAAGCAATTATTAACCGCCTCCGGAGATAAAACCTGTAAACTGTGGGATGTAGAAACGCGTTCTTTAATTACAGAATTCAACATGGGAACGACGGTCGACGATCAACAAGTTCGTAACTTACAGATCAGTTTAAAAATACACAGAAAGGCACAGTATGCAAGTAAATATTAAAAGTATTAAAATAATCTGTTCTAGGTGAGCTGTCTGTGGCAAGGAAAACATTTATTATCCGTGTCACTTAGCGGCTTCATCAACTATCTTGACGTCGACAATTCTGAGAAGCCTATAAAGATAATAAAAGTAATTCCTGTTCCTGATTGATTAATCTCTTTTAAAGTTCTAATTTAATTAGAACAACATTAATTTATTCTTAATATATTCTTTTCATTATATCAGTTTTGATCCAATATTTTTTTTCAGGGTCATAACAAACCAATAACGGTGCTAACATTAAGTCCTGATAGAAGTACGATTTACACCGGTTCTCACGATGGCTATATCACCAATTGGAATGCGGAGACAGGTGAAAATGAACGTGTACAAGGGCACGGTCATGGTAATCAAATTAACGGGATGAAGGCTACGGGTAACTTGCTCTATACCGCTGGCATTGACGATACTTTAAGATCAATCGATATTGCGACAAATGCATACGCAGAGACCAGTGTGATAAAATTGGATTCGCAACCACGAGGACTGAATATATATAACGATATAGTTGTAGTGGCTTCAGTTCGACAGGTAGATCGAATGTAAAATGTCTACAAAGTCATTTTTTCGATTTTTCAAATTTATTCAGTAAATTTAACAAAATATTTAGCAAGTTTAAAATTAATTTAGCTGAAAACGGAATAATTTTAATAAGGATAATTTTTTATGCTATTATAGGATTTGTAAAATGTATTTTTAAAAACTGAGTATCTTTGTAGACATTTTGCACTTGTAAATTTTGCGTAATAATGATGTTACTATTGATACTGTATTTTGCAGATCGCAGTTACGCAAGATGGCAAAAAACTGTCTAGTTTATCAATCGATTATGAGCCATCATGTGTATCAATTAATCAAGAAATCGGAGATGTAGCTGTTGGATCCACTTCTGACAATAAAGTTCGTCTGTTACTTATAGTATACGAAAAATGTAAAAAAATTGATTCATATGCTATTATCAAGCTTTGTACAATGTAGGTTTATATTTACGAGTTATCGGACACTACATTAACTCAAAAGACTGAACTAGAACATCTGGGTCCAGTTACGGATGCCTCCTATAGTCCTGATAATAAATATTTAGTTGCCTGTGATGCAAACAGAAAAGTTATACTGTATACTGTACCAGAATATAAGGTAAAGTACTTTACATAAAAGATAATTTGAATTATTTAAATTCAATTGTAAATGTACAGTTAAATGTAGTTGTAAGTCATGCATGATCGAATATTTGTTAGATGCTCAGTAACTGTGTTAGAAATGCAAGAATAATAATTTAACTTAAAATTTTTAATTCAAAAAATTTTGCTTTTTTAATACCATAATTCAACATGTATAATTGTAATAAAGAGTTAGTAAACTTAACAGAAAATTCCGTCTAAACCTCTAAATTTAATGGATAAGTACTTATAGCATTTATTCATTAAATTTAATTGTGACGCACTATAATGTTGGAGCAATATTTGCATAAAATAATTAAGCATAAAATAATCATGCTTTCATTAATGAATTAATTGCTATTAATGGCTTGTTATGTGCTTATTGGATTAACAGAGGGTGAGTAGTATGGAATTAAATATCCGTTATACAAATATAGTTTGAACAGAACAATTTTTAGGATATAAATCTAAATTATTTTGATTTGATTTGCAGCTTGCACATAATAGAGAATGGGGTTTTCACAATGCAAGAGTAAACTCTGTTGCTTGGTCTCCAAACTGTGACATGGTTGCAAGTGGTAGTCTTGATACCACTATCATCATTTGGAGTGTGACAAATCCAGCGAAACATACTATCATCAAAAGTAAGTGTAGCAAATATCCTTTTGTAAATGAATCGCAATTAATAAACATTTATATTTCAGATGCTCATCCTCAGAGTCAAATAACACGCTTAGTTTGGCTGGATGAGGAAACGTTAATCTCCGTCGGACAGGACTGCAATACTAAAATATGGCGTATAGAAAAGATATAATTAACTTTTGGAAGAATTTATTGCCACTTCTAAGGAAACTCAGTTTTGGAGGCATTTTATTTATTTCGTAGTCTACAAAAAAAATATTGTATATTATTTTTTAATACAATTCTTGATATATGATTAAAAAATTATATTGCAGTGTCTTTTGCACCTTTTGTATCGACTTTATTAGTAGAATAATTCACATCCCATATAACTAAGATTCTGCGGCTCTTTGCTGCAGCTTTATTTTTGCACATATGTAGATATTGCATTTTCACTAAGAGTCACACGACTTATCTAACTTGTCTTTATTAAAACGATATAACAATAACAAGAAAGCGATAACAATTCGAACACTAAAGGTCTTCAGGAACATGATCACACTTTGTACACTTAAAGATGGAGTTCCATAGTCCATAGCTCGGCATGGCTCGCCATAACTCGGAAAGCCTATACGCGCATGGAATCAGGATGACTCGTTATTCCTCACGCTTTGTAACTTATGACATTTTCGAAAATTGGCATAAATTTCACGAGTCAAAGAAGTTTTCGTGCAGACGAGCTAAGGCATCTTACGCTATGAATCGTCAATGATCATGTTCAGCAGAATACTTATTTTATAAATGTTGAAAGTTTTCTTTGCTGATATAGGACTATAGAAGATCTAAACGTATAATTAAATTAACGCGAAAGAAAACTTCCAACGGTAGCAATAGTAAAAATAAAATATTCTATTGAACGTGATCAATACTTGCAAAGTTATTTCATATACATTTTTTCATTATAGAAACTCAAAAAGTTACTTAAATCTCAACTAGCAATAATAAAGCTCTCACACATTTATATGCAAGCATAGAAAAATTGCGTGGTGCAATAACGCACAGTTAATTACTTCGTTCAATCAAGGTGCAAGCTCTTTCATTCGCGTAATTTACCGACAGTTTCGTGAGCTGATGAACCGCGAGTTATAGTGAGTCATTTTGTTTCTGCGTCGTAGGACCGCAATTTTAACCTTTTTTTATATCACTTTTGAGACTAATCGTGTGACGAGCCATGTTGAACCGCGGGCCGTGGGACCTCACTTTAAACGAAGATGTTATTACGACTTGTCTTATCATTAATCAGTCCAGTGCTACTCTTACAAATTCAATTATGTTCATCTATCATTTATCATAAATAGGCATAAATAATCATTCTAAATTATTCTCTAATTCAACATATCTAGAACAGTGCTTAATTATTTTTAATTAATAATGAAATAATTTCATTTCAATTTTTTCCCTTTCTTTTTTTTGTAATTTAACGAAAAAAATAATTTTTAACAGAAAATATATTTTGATGAAAAGGTATCCTAGTGAGGGTTAAAATGTCTATATATAAATGTCTATATAGAATAACACAATAGTGACTTTATCATCACATTATTGATGGTTTTGACGTATTATATCGTGAACGTTTTTGAGGAGAAGCTACTGGGTGCCTGTAGGACACATGTTTCCTGAGAGCATCTCGTGATCGCGACACATGTGAACAGGATGTGCAGCTATATGAGCTATTACTATGCGTCTCCATGTGTACTCGCAAGTTGTACTGATTACTTAATTGTTTACCACAAATAAGACAAGTGACACTGGATTTGTTGTAACTCTGAGAAGTTCTACTAGGTGTGGACGCCGCAAGCAACTTGAAACTTGCATCCCACACAGCTGGCGGTGGTTTTACATCTTCTGTAGTGACTTGATCCTCCATGATTGGCGCTGTCTCGTCCGCTATGTTCTCCGAATAACCTCTATCGACATATTTATTAACAGATACGTTAACAGGAACAGACATTTTTTCCCTTTGGTTTAACTTCGCGTTTATAGAGTAATAGGGCTTCGTCTTCACGCAATATGGTATACTTTCTTGATCATTATTAGGCTCCTCATCCTCTAAAGTATCCATTTTAGGCAATGATACAGATTCTGACGATCCAGGAGTTATTACATTATCTTTCTCTATCTTTATTATCTCTTCGTTCAGTCTTTCCTGAGGTTGCATTACTGGCGATTGCACATATATATCATTATCCTGTCTCGAATTTTTCTGAAATAAGAAGACATAACTATGTAAATTACATTAAATAATTATCATATTTCTCCATTAAAAACACTACACTATTAAACATAATAAAAAATATATAATTTAAAGGTGTATTAACTATGCGGCGTCATATGCTTTTATGTCTCTATATTAAAAGTAAATGTTTACAATAGAATAATATTAAATAAATTTATTATTATAAAGATTTATACAAAAATATAAATTGCTTTTGATAATTAATAATCATAATAAATATATTTTTTAACTTTGCGAATATAAATATTGATGTGATATAACGGTAAATATATCTTTTAAAATTCAAGAAAATAAAGTAAAGCATATTCTATATATATTATACAACAGGTTATGCATTGCACATTAATTATCTATTATGTGCAATTTATTCGTATTTACTTAAAATCAATATTAGAATATATTACTTAAGGATATTTAGCATGATAATTTTTTAAACATTTGTTTTCGTTTTTTTGGTTTAATTCTAGAAATAAACATTTCTATTAAACAATACTAAGGCCCAGTTCCACAATTAACTCTTAATCGAGGTTCAACTTATTGTCTTTTTCCAATTCTAGAATTGGAAAGAAATGAGAAACAAGTTGAACCTCGGTTAAGAGTTAACCGTGAACCGTTGTGGAACTGGGCCTAAGTATGCCTAATAAAATATCTAATTTTTTATTTAAAAAACTATTTAGTCAAGAGTTACTATTGAATTCTAACAGTTTAGCACATAAAATCCTTGACTATATCTGAAAATTATTTTCCAAAATTATTTTGTAGGTTTTCATGCATTTTTTTTTCTTTTAGCTAATAACATCTTTAGAATCAAGAAATTAGTGCTAAACATTTGTTATCATCACACTTGACTAAACTGTTAAGCATTATTGTACTGCAAAAAAAAACATAAGTGTTGTATGAAATCGCCGTTTTAACTTCGGTAATATATAGTTTTAGTAATTTAGAGATTCATGGAAGAAGCTATTTTAGATATACCTGTAAAGTCATTCTATGGGGTAAGGTTCCATGGGATGCATCCACTTGCATTTAGTTGCAACACACACAACGATCTTGATCTCGTGGATATCGTTTTTATTCATTATCGTTCCTTCGATGCATGTACGAACATAATATGTGTAGCGGTATAATTCCTTCGTGAAGTACTTCTTGAGGAACGACAGTGAATGTGTTTAAGTAACCTGAACAAAACAACACGATCAGGATAATATAAAAACATTAAGTGAGGAATAAGCGAACGCGGATTTGCTTCGTTCTCCGTTCTGCTAAAGTATGAAAGAAATTAATTATCTGCGACCTTTTGAGAAAATATATTTGTGACAATATTATGACAATTCTGTATTCTTTAAGTATATTGAACATGAATATTTCAAGGACAGCATTTACAATACATGTACAATGAGCTATAATATGTACATATTGAATTTATCGTGATTTACAGATAAATTCTACTTAATGAGATATTGAGAGATTTGTTTACAACTCTAACAAATGCTTACAACAATGCTTACTGCTATCGCATATAAATATTATATTATAAATATGCAACGTGTTACAGTTTAAAAAAAAAATTGAAAAATAATATACTGACATTCTATTAATTGTAAGAAGCAATATTATTTATGAGCTATATCGAATATACAGATACTATTACAATGCATAAACAGTTGTATATCAATGTTAATGAAAAAAAGGAGAAAAAATGTGAAAGGAAAATGCATTGTGGTTTAAAATGGTGCAATTTATTAATAGAAAATGTTGCATAAGTTTTGTATAACTATATATTATATACTGACTATATTGTTGAGCGTACCAACAATACAGTTATTTTGTGCAAATTTATAACAGACATATTTGTGTGAAAAATAATAAAATATTTAGTATATATTCGTAAGGAATAAGTAAGAACTGTTAGAAGGAGTTATATTCCTGAATAACGGCGTTTAAAAACCCATGCTTTGTTATAAGCAATTAAGAATTTTCATTTGAGGACAAGTGTATTAAAAAGATTAAATATTATTCATGCTAATTACCTTAAGTACTAAAAAAACACGCCATTAATTTAATAACAAGAAAAGGGCAGTCTTTATTTCTGAATATATAGTATAATAAATTGTTATATATATTTAGCTCTCTGATTATTTATTTCTTATGCACAATTAGCAAGCTTGCACTCAATCTGACTTAGTAATAGTAAGAATGAAAATCATATTTTTATTATTAAATAAAATCATAATTTGTATGCTTAGATACAAAGTTACTGTAATTCAGAAATTAATTAATAAAAAAAAATTAGTACATAATACGCGCACTAAAATAAATAAAATATTTTATTAAATATTTTGTATATTTTGTATATCATTATTTTTCGTTATATTATAAGACAAAGAACTTGGTAATAATTTTACGAACTATGTATTTTATATGACGCCAAAAATGTTGATACAAAAAATAAAATATAAGTTAAAAATGAAAATATACAATACATTCAGAAAATACAATATAAATGCAGAGAATAGCATAATTTTTTTTACATAATACAAGCTTTCCTTATACTCTTCAAAATACCTTCAAAGTATCTTTTTAATATCATTTAAGCACAAAAAATCACTTACCCCAGCCATGTCAGCTAATCCACAAATGTGCAATGTATCAGCCATAGCTAAAAGTGCAGGTAACTGTTCTTGATAAATATTCACTTCTCCATTATACATAAATTTGACCAGAGCACATAAATTTGCATATTCCATGCCTGGCAACACAATGATCGGATGTTGCAAAACGCTTAAGTCCTAAAAATGTTTTCATAGGATTTTTATCTTACTGTTTAATAACTACACATTTCATCGCATACAAGCGACACAATATTAACTTAACATCACAGTTTGAATTAATTTAGAAACCCATTACATTTAGTTTATCAAGCAATCAAATTAACTATTCAAAATAATTTTATTCTTGAAGATATTAGATATGATTACTTATAAAAAAAAGAAACAAGTAAAAAAGCATGAAAATAATATAATATGAAAATAGAGTTGATTCAAAAAAATGTAAAAAAATTTATATATTTATTACGTCATTAATAGATCACAATATATTACTCAAAACGTTTTATAAAAGAAAAAATTATCGAGATTAAATCTAAGAAACACCAATTGGCAGCAAAATATAAGCAAACAAAATATATAGATTTAAAAGACATGAATCTTCATGGCTTGCATAACATGAGACAGTTTTATACGTATAAATACCTTAAAAAGTTCTTTAAAGTAATAACTACAAGCCGAGAGTATAATTCTGTGAGCATGAATATGTCTACCGCCGGCACTGAGCGTAACATCTGTCAGATAACCACCGTCAAGCAACTTTGGCAACGAGCTCAAGAGAGTATTTTGAAAATTATGCCACCGTAAACAGAACTGTTGACTTTCCATATCTCTGCCTGCTGTAAGAAAAAAAGGATCATCATATTGAAACATTATATTTTATAAAAGGAAAAATTACCAGAATTAAGTCTCAATGACTGCATAAGAAAGAAAATACAGCACCAGTTTGCAGGAAAATCTAAGCAAACAAAATATATGAATTTAAAAGACATGAAATCTTTATGATGTCTTAAATTTGTACAAATTTATTCTTTTGCAGAGGATTAGAACATTGCAATGAATATTTTGTTACATAATACATAAGTTCTGTATTCATTCATGCGTATCTAATCTAATGATATTAATTCTCCAGAGCTAAAATCTATAGCAAAAGGCAAGTTTTTTAACTCATCATTGTTCAATTGCATTATGCAGCTTTTATGGAGCAAAGTTATATTTGTGCAAAGCAATTAATCAATCGATGGATTAAAAACTTATGCCTGCAGTTATCGATGTTGAATTTGTACGATACATTTAATTTATGCAATAGCGAATTTGATTGAATGCATTAATGTGCACTGCCGAATATTAAAGTTATGGATATACTGATCCAAATGTAAAAGTGAAATACAAATATTTCGAATTATAAATAATTATAAATATACCTTATCTAACAACACAGTAAATTATATATTGAAGAGTTCAAGGTAAGTTATTTCTTTTATATTAAGTACATATTTTTGCGTCAATTTATATACAATCTCAATATGCATCAGTGCATCCAATTGAATTCGCTATTAATTAAAAAGCACTAATTAATTATTAATTAATTTCATGGAATCAAAACTTATAAAAAAGAATTAATATTAAATATATTTTAATAGAAATAATTTGCAGATGTAATATAAAAAAAATTGAATTGACATTTATAGCAAAGAGATTTATAATTAAATGGATTCAATCGACCTACCGTCAACTTCGGAGGAGCTTAAACATTAATTAGGCACATAACAATTCGATTCTCTCGTCGTACAGGATAAAAAGTTATAAAAACCACGAAATTGCAGGGTGAAAGATGATTTTCTTCTGGTCGATTCGAAAAAGAGATCTAAAATTTAGGGAGATCTACGTCGCGAGATCGCGACGTAAGGGAGGTGGGGCGACAGTCCGCGAGAGATACAGAGGGAGACAATACTATTTATTTAATCAGGCTCTGTGCAGGTTCCAGCCAAATCTATTATTGTACTCAGGTATGGCTGGAGGAAAAGGACGGCCGTCGTCCTCGCGATTCGCGATAGTTCGCGGTAGACAACTTAATAACACCAATATAGAGATGCCGAGGCATCGACACGTCTGTGAGAGGCAGGGAGACCAAGAGCCACGCGTCCGTCGTGCCTTACCTCGTGAAAATCGTTGGACGTTGTCCGTCACAAACGATTCGTTCTCAATGTAAAACTGCCCCTCTCATCTGGCGAGCGCCATAATCGCAATTGGCGCGGATCACACGATCATGAGAGATGCACGCCTAAACCACAAACCACATAGCTGATGGCCACCTTTTGACGTTATCTAGAATTTATTTATACAAATTTAGCGATTTTGTCGCAATTTCAGGTATCATAGGCTGGGTCCGAGGAGACGCTATTAGTACTATTTGTGTCATTCTATCTTCATTATTCATTAAACGTGAAACAAGAATAGTATGATACAAATAACGTTGATAACGTGCTTCCCGAACACAGCCTTGATGGACAAATATTAGCTAATGATGACTTTAATGATACGTTTGCAATATTTAAATTTTATGTGCTTAACAGGCTAATATATAATACTGCTTAGTTATAAATGGTTTTGAATTACTTTGAACTATTTATTTTAGTGCTATAATTGGTGACACAGATGTAGCGAGTGTAGCATGATATAGTGCCAAAGTCACTAAAAATCTGGCAACTTTGCCTAGAAACGAATTGAAATTTGACGCAATTTTTTTCAAATTTCGAAATAGCTTCCTTCAAAATAAGCCTTCAAAATAATTCGAAAGGCTATTTCAAAATTGGTTTAATCGATGATTAATTCGATAAATTTACTTAAGGCAAATTTAAATTTTGATCTAAAATAAAAATTTAAGTCAGAAAATTGAGATCAGAAACCATTTTTATTCTCTAAATCTCTTAAAGGATTTAACTTTGAAATAAAAGAGATATAACACAATATAAGATAATATAAAATATAAGATATAAGATAAGATATAAGATAATATAAAATATAAGCTACATATCTCGGAATATTTTGTTTATATATGTTTTTGTTTGAAAAAATTAAATAAGAATAATTATATAAAGAAATAAATGTATTTAAAAATGAAGATCCAAATACTTTTTATTTTTTATTATTAAAAAGTTTGTTTCTATAATTTTGTTTTTTTATGAGTTACAAACATTATTAAACATTGAAATATCTTCTTAATAAAATTATGTATAAAAGATTAGGTATTTTGTTTTTGCTTGTTCATAGCTTTGAAGTCGCTAAATTTATATCCGAGGATAGGCTTGAGAATATTCGGCGTGAACATATTTCTCGCATTATTGATGCAAAGCAAATTGACATTTGTTGTCGTCAATACAATCATATTAAACAGCAGGTAAGAAATATGCTGATAATGCATCAAATTTATATATTTCCCAATAACATGATAGTCTTCTTTTTTTAATTTTTTAATGATTATTTTATGGTCTTAGCTATGAATACTTAGTATTGGGTAATCAATATCCAGCGATATTATCGAAGCATGATTCAACTGCGAATCAGATAGCTTTTTACTCCGTATTTATTAAATAAAACGGCATATATATATCATTAAATAAACTTTTATTACATTCAACGAAATCCGCTGTATAAACTGTTTTTATTTCAAATCAAAATTATAATATTGAATTAATTGTAAGCCAAAAGTTCTTTATTTTTCAGAAATACAATTCAATGTAGACCCAGCAAACGAGAATGTATTAAAATAGATTGAAATTTTTTTCTATCCGAATGTGTATTTTAAATAACAAATATTTTTTGGATTTAATTGGATTCAATTGGATGCAAGTGGATTGAAAAACTGCATTTCCTATTCAAAATTTTGAATTGAACAGTATTCATAATGTGTGTGTTGTGCATAGAAAAAGCTAATATTATTTTTAGATTGAAAGGCATAGAGATATGATCCATGCGATTTCTATAAATGAATAAAAAATGCATTCAGGATTAAAAAAGCATTCATTTTTAACATTCGTGAATAAATATTTCTGAAAATTTGAATCCATTTCATCCAATTCATTTCAATCCATTCTCGTTTGCCGGGGAATTAAACTAGTTTTTCATTCTCTAATAATAACGAATTTTGTTGAAATTAATAAAGTTTTATGGTCTTAACAACAGATTGCATTTGTTAGATTATATTTATAAAGAGAGATATATTTTTTACAAAGATTACAAATAATTTTTTAAAAAGATTAATTAATTGTAATAGATATACTATGACATTACAATCTTGTTGCATGTTAATTTAATGATACTTATTTTTTTATTTAAAAATATGTTTTATAGGTTGAATATTAATTATGAGTATACATATTGTTAGTGGAGATATATAAAAAGGAAAACCAAGAAGTGATCTATATATAATCCGATTATTTATACACAACTATCTGCTTCGGTTGATATTATTATATCATCGATTTTATTATTTGTATATAATTATACAGGAAAATGACGCTTACAACTGTAAAATCGCTTAAATGCTCAATCTCGATTGTGTCGGACTTTTCTTGATATTGCGATTCTAAATGTGTCATTCTCGATCGCGATACATTAAAAATCGCATTTTCTTCCGACACACAACAAACGATTTCTCAATTATATCACAGAAATACAGACTTTAAATTCGAGTGACAATTTGAAGACACACAATTACAAAATCGTGTTCGTAATGAATGATTAAAAATTCGTAGAAATCATGTAAAAACTTGTGTATGCTGATTAGAAACGATTGAGTTTTTAATCACCTGTGACTGATTTCTCAGAAAGAGAAATCAACAGTTTATGTTTCTTCAAGCGATATACATTTATATCTTGTCTGTTACAATTTTATATACAGTTTTTTCATAATTATTGTTTATAACACTTAAGACTACTGTAAGAGTTAAGACAGTATTATTATAAAATGATTATAGCTAGTTATATTTCATATCGTCAATTTCTAAAAAGTGTATAACAAAATCCACAGCATTTATAATTAATAATAATACATACAAACACTGTGCTTACTATCGATAACAATTGCCATATTAAAAATGAAACTTTTCTTTATTAGATGTCAGTGTTATGAATAAATAAAATATATCAACAATCAATATATTGCAGATAATATTTGCTTAATATTTGCAAATAAAAAGTAACGTTCTTATCATTATGCAAGTTACATACATATTTCTGTAATATATTACAAAGTTATACTTTAGAAAATAAGTATTGATGAAACACGATAATATTATAGAAAATTGAGATATTTTTTTAATCGAGAAATATGATAACTCCTCGTCATTAGGCACAAATATTTCTATACTACTATATATTCATTCTAAAATGTGTTTATAACGCGCAAAAATTGTTTATATTTATACTAAATTGAAAACTTATTAGTTTTCAATGGTTTTCATTACTTAAAAGTTTCAACAACTGTAAGATAAATATTTGCAACTTTGCATCCTAGCAGAAAATCATGTTAGGATCATTTAGTGTCTAAAGAAATAGTCAAAAAGCTACGGAAATAATTTTCTTCGATACTAAATAATCCTAAATATCCTTCTTTGATGCAAAGTTAATCTTGTCAATGCAATCTTAGATTCAAAATTAGCTGTACATAATATTCATATTAATATTAAGAATGCCTTGTACTTACAAAATCATAAAATTTTCATTTGATAACACAAGAATTTTTAACTGAGAAAACGCGACTTACTTGAGTTATAAAACTTTGAAATGGAGATGTAAAAGAGAGCGATAAAAACCCACGCCATATTCGACTGAATTCGACAACTTGTAAATCCTGTTTATGCCTAGAACCGATATAAAATCCGTGTATTCTCGATATGTTTTTAACTACATGTATATTATGTATGTATGTATATTCTCTGTAATATCTGATATTAGACCAGCGCCTTTACTATATATCTGTAACTCTCGAAGATTGTCCATAAATTTTTGTAAACTTGTACTTGTTGCTTTGCATCAGGTATCTGGATTATTACGTGCATTGTACACGCGCTATATCGAATATTTGGAAATCCTTCGACAATGTTCATTCCTAAAGATTGCTTCCCAATATCGATAACGTATCGCTTGGCGGTTTTTAGACACATACCGTTTCTCGATAAAAATTATGACAATGTTACTTAATTATTATTAAAACGTGTTCTCTCTAAGCATATTTCCAATTTCAAACTCCTCTAATACTCGTTTCTATCAATGTTAACTTTAATCTCGGTTCAATTTATTCTTCATCTTTTTCTAATTCTTAGAACTAGAGAAAGAGAATTAGTTGAATTAAAATTAAAATTGAATTACAATGTAGAAACAGCATTAATGTAGAAAGAGCATTAATAAAAGATCAAGAGTTGTAACTTCCTTCCTGATGGCTTTACACGATATCCTTTCGGTTATTTTTAATTATGAAAATCTATTCATTATAAGTTTTTTATACTTTTACATGTGTGTAATTGGTCCGCAGATACCGATCGATGTTCGAATTTCTTTCAATTCTTGTAAAGAGAACGAATCTTATTGCGTTAAAACCATTGAATCTAACGCACCATAGAATAAAATTGCTTATTGTGTATTATAAATTATCAACGCGTGCTCTGTTTTTTCTTTTTCTTTTCATAAATGTGTAAAATGCCATTATTATTGTGGTCCTTCTCCATGAAGTAGAGTGAGTATAGCGTTTCTGAGAGCGAAATTCGGAGTAAAAGAAGTATCATGTAACGGCTCATTCGTCATCGGACTAGTATATTTTCCACATAGGAACCATTCATTTATAGCTGCCCTTTCATAAGTAAATCCATCTAAGAATAATAATTGTACAATTAATTTTATTAAGATAAATTTTTCAAAATAATTTTTTATAAAAAAGCGATTTTTATATGATATTTTTACCTGAGCACTGTACAGGTTCTTTCATTATCTCGTGCGTTATAGGACACAAAAATTCATGAGGAATCTCAGACTCGTCTATATTCTCCATAACATTGCAATCTTCACGCTTTAGCCAATATAATTGTTTCTTTAATATTTCCATAGCCTATAAAAATTTTCAGTTTATAAGGAGTTCGATATAATGAGGTGGATAAAGTCATCATAATATTATGTATTGCACCTCTTCGTCATCTTCAAGTTCCAACCGCGATATTAGTTCATTTTCTGATACGGATAGCAAATGTCGTCCTGTCAGTCCTAAAGCAAGCACTTTCCTGGACAGTCTGGATAATTCAATGTCGTTCAACCATTTTAAAGTGTCATATAATTTCCAATCCGCAACCTGAACAGCAAAATTTTATCAAATATTATTCAACTTACGCACGCATGTTTCGTTCATTTCGCATAATATAAAATCGATTTGTTTAATTACTGACTCTCTTCTTCTTGTTTCTCAAGCTATCCATCAAATTACTTTGTGACACCAACTGCTGTGGCACCTTCCAAATCAATACAGTTTTGTCCAATGCACCTAAAAGAAAATTATTATTAATGGTAAAATGATACTGATTATGTAAAATGTGACAATTTTTAGTTAAGCTTAAAATTTGTAAAATTTATAGAAACAAAATTTCTAATATAAACAATTTGTACAAGAACAACTTGATGTATACAAATTTATAATGTGTTATAATAGATGTGAGTCATAATAGTTCAAGACCTGTAGCGAAGAATGATGTATCCTCGGAAAATGCACAAGACGTAACAAGACTATCATGATCCTCTAGGACATATAAACAACTTCCGGAAAACTGAAAGCGCATAATATATCGATCTTTGTGAAAAAGTTCTCATATATATATTTTGTATCGAGTATACAATTGCCTTGATTGCTTACCACGCTCCATATACGAGCTGTTCTATCAGTCGCGACGCTACCTATAACTTCTCCATGGATGGGCGAGAAACGGACACACATTACATTTCCACCGTGTCCGGTTAAAGACTTTTTCTCCTTGTAACTCTTTCCAAGGTTGCTTGATTTAATGCTATCCGAATCGGGTAATGAATCGTTTGGAATAATTATATGCCATAATTTAACTAAGGAATCGTTGCCGCATGTTGCTAGTAAATATATTTGCTGATTTACGTCTGTGTCCCTTGCTGCAAACAGTCATTGATTTTTGCATTATTTAATAAAGATTTTTGTAAGATAATATATGCGTGAAGATAATAATGCATTAAAGATAATAATAATTAAAATAGTTTTCCTACATGAACTGCACATCAAAGAGCATGGAGTAGGACTGAAGTCACATCCTTGGACACCTAGATCATGACTAGCGTCACAAACCATCAATGCTTCGGAACCATTTTTATCGTCTAGAGTATCGAACAGACGCCAGGTGCCTTCGTTACATGCGGTCACTAAATATCGGGAATCATGCGTAAATGCAATGGCCGATATCGCGTCGGCATGACCCTCGAAGACACTATAAAATTGCCTAACGATTATTGTTTACTCTACAAATTATATCCGACATCGATTTTAGACCACGAATGGAATCAAATGATTCTTATAGATGTTTTATTGTTGAAAACGAATTCGTAAATGAAATTCCTCTTTCCGAAGGATTCCGAGATCTTTCAAAAGAATAAACTCAAAAGAAAAAAATATCGTTTTTAGCATTTTTAATATCAATTTTCTTAAAAATCTGATGTAATAAAGCAATTACATTTATGGATTCGTTTCCAGCGACCAAAAATTTATAAGAATCACTTAATCCCGTTTGTGGTCTAGAAAAAGTTAAATTTGTTGGACAGTGTTCTTGTCTGTTAACTATTAAAAATAGAAAAATAAATCT